GCCGCCACCTGCGCAGGCGCGGACTTCCCCCCCCGGCGGCCCGCAGGGACTACAGCTCCCGGCGTGCCCCGCGACAGGCGCCGCGCATGCTCGGTGCGGGCCGGGAGGGGCCGGGATATCCCCTGGTATCCATTGGTATCCAGCGTGTCCTCGGCATCCATGACCTGTGGAGGCGGCGGGGAGAGGTGGGGAGGACAGCCTGGGCACGAGAAAGCTCCAGGAGACCTTAGGGACCCTTCCAGTCCCTGAAGGTGCTCCAAGAGAGCTGGAGAGAGACAAGGGCTGGAGGGACAGGACAAGGGGGAATGGCTTCCCACTGCCAGAGGGCAGGGTTAGATGGGATTTTGGGAAGGAATTCTTGGGATTTTGGGAAGGAATTCTTGGTTGTGAGGGTGGGGAGGCCCTGGCACAGGTTGCCCAGAGAAGCTGTGGCTGCCCCTGGATCCCTGGAATTCTCCAAGGCCAGGTCGGATGGGGCTTGGAGCAACCTGGGCTAGTGGAAGGTGTCCCTGCCCATGGCAGGGGAGGGACTGGATGAGCTTTGAGGTCCCTTCCAGCCCAAACCACTCTGTGATTTGTGACTCTATATGCACACACAGAGTATATACACATATACATATATATGTATATGCACACACACACAGCAGTAAAAATCACTGCTGACCAAAGCACCGCTGTGGGCTGGGCTGGCGCAGGAACACCTTGAGGAACCCACGGCCATCCCTGGCACCAGGTACTGCAGTGACAGTTATGACTGGAATTCTCCCAGAGCACAAAGGGATGTCCTGGGTGACAGGAGTTTCTGACTGCCAAGCAGCTGGAGCATCCCTGGTGGCAGTGAGGGCTCTGGGACACACAGTGAAGGTTTTGCTGTTTAAGGTATCCACTTCAGATACTTCAGCTATTGATACTATTAAGCTTTTATGTAACACCTTTCTTGTTTTCATCGTATTTTTTCTTGACCCAAATGCATTTTTGCATAAGTGAACGCATAGAAATTAAAATACATCTCCTCTTTTGACAATGAGGAATGAGAGAGTTCAGTTTCCATGCACTGAAAACAGATAAAAGACTCCTTAATTTTCGGAGAGTGGGAGAATATCCTCAATAATTCTTCAGGAAAAATTACATTCTTTGCAAGAGCAAAGTTTAGCATTTTCTTACAACTGGTAGGGATGTGAAAATCCATCATGCCTTCCACACATAACCTCCAATAAGATGTCACAGCTACAATTAAGTGTTTCTGCTGATTCAAGAGAACAGCTCCAGTTGTTTCCCCCAAGAGACCAACACATGTCTCGATGCCAATCAACCATTTGTGGTTACAACTGACCAAGGCACATGTGCACATCACTTCCAGCACAGAAATCACTTGAATTTCAGCACAGAACAACAGGTGCTGCTCAGCCAGAGCCTGGGGGTATGGAAAAGTCAGGTGTGTGGCTTTGTCAGAGAGGTGCAAGTCCCTGGGAAGCAAGTTTGGAGCCAAGGTTACAGCCCTATATGAGAACAAACAACTCGAAGAGCCGAAATAAGTTCTTGAGGTGTTTCTTTCTTTTCTTTTTTTTTTTTTTTTCCTCTAAGGCTTTTCTATGCACCTTTAAGTCTTTATGTTCCTTTAGAAATATTTGACAGCATACAGTTCCAATAGTTAATGGTCTATTCAAATTAATGATGATAAAAATTAACAGAGATTTCTGTCTCATGCATCACCTAAATAAACAGTTGTCTCTCGTCCAGTGTTGTGATACCAATTCCTGTCCTGGACAATGAGGCTCTGACTGCAGCTGGAGTTCCACATATGCACAGCTGGGCTTCCTCTCTGCTGGATTTGTTGTCTCCCAGCAGAGGTGAATAACACTCAGTGTCTCTTTTCAAGGACACTACAACAGTTGGCCTCTCTGTAATAATTTTTCCCCTCCTCTTCCCAACCAGCACTTCAGAAAAGTGATTGCTGTTAAACCCCAGAAGCCCTAATCTCTTTGTTTTTCAGCTTCTGATGCCTCCAGTCAAGTTCCACTGGCGCCATCTGCTCTCCAAAATTCATGAGAAAAAGAATGTATTCCAGGTGCACAGACTACTGATCAGTTTGCGTTTGCCAGGACAAAAGGAACGTGGAACAATCCTCACATTCACACTGTTTCAGAGATCATTTTCCCTGTAAAAAATCATGGCCTGTCAGTGAACTGGAACAGCAAATAAATAATTAACATAGAATACATTACAAACAAAGATGAATATAATTGAGTGGTAGAAGAGCTATGTGTCCAAAATTTTACTTTGGGGAAAGGAGGAGAATGCTTGATTATTTTCTTTTTTCCCTGTACTTTTTATAACTGCAAGATACCCAGGCAGGATGGAATTTTCTTGCTATCCCCTGTCATAACTTTCTTTTGATTAGTAAGAACCCCAAGAAATTGGTGCAGTTTGCCACAGTTGTTTAGGATAATCTTGTACAAAGACTATTTAGGAAAACTGTGAATGCTTTATAGGCTTTCAGATTTGCCAGGTTTGATAGGATGAATCTGTGCTTCTGGGAGTTAATTTTTTTAAAGATAATATGTTATAATTTTCATAGTATTTTACCTGCCTCTCTCAGTCCGATCCAGACTGGTCAGTGGGACAGAGATTGTTTCTTGTGGCAAAATATGTGTAGTATTTATTCTCACTTGGGCTGTGGTAAATAATAATAATATTCAAATCCCTGATGAAATCTTATCCAGTTGTTGCAGCCAGAACTGGCACATCAGTGAGTGCTGTTGGGACCTGACTGGGAAACCACTGAGGACAAGGATTTGTGTGGCAGAGTTGTATAAATCGCTTCCATGTTTGAATCTTCCATGTGGTAATAAAAAAACCCCTGCAAGATCATTAAAATGTTGTGATTCTGACAGATTTTTTGAGCAGAAGTCTGCAAATGGAGATTGCTCTCTGATACCTCAAAGCTCTGGGCTCCCTCACCTAAAGGGCTGAGACAAGAGAAGCACTGAACACACTTATTATTCTACTATTCCCAGAGTATGGGATCCTCTCTCCTGAATTAGGCCCTGCCTTCATTCTGTAATAAACACAAGTCCTAATTCGTGTCAGCAAAGGAAACAAATGGGAAACAAATGGGTTAATGTAACCTCAGGAAAGAAGAAAAACAAACGGATTGTAAAACTTAATTACACCCTCATAAAGACATAAAACAGACCATCACCTCCCCTGTCCTCCTAGCCAGGAATTATGCCCAAACCAGGTCGGGTCAGTAGCCTGCTGGCGCCTTTTGTCAAAGAACATATGAATTTATAACTTGCCGTAGAGATAACAAATTAGTCTTAGTTCTAAAAATAAACATATGTTGAATACCTGGAATAGTGATGTAAAATGTATATGTTTGTGATGTAATGAATACGTATGGGATGTTTGAAATAAATATCAGGCACACAAACTGTATCAGAGTGGCAAGTCTAGGAGCAAGACCCCACTGCCACCCAGACCTGCTTGCTTCTACTATATAATAAATTCTAATTTGAAAAATTATTTTATTCTGAGACTCTGTTTCTCACAATTCTCTCCCTTTTTCCACTCTCAGCCAACTCCACTGACCTCACACACGACAAAGCTCTTCTTTCCAACATTACATGATTTCCTAAAGGTTGTCCAGCAAGTTGCTGTCAGAATTGGAAACAGAACTGCATTTCTTTCTCCTTGACAAGTGTTTGATGTTTTCTATTTTATTTATTTTAGTGAAGCACACAAAAATCCTGTCAGCACCACACAAATACAAAACAATTCAGGTAGGAAGGAACCCATGGTGGCCTCTTGGTCTTCAACCAGAACCAGCTTAGATAAGGTTGCACAGCTGAGAGACAAAGACCTTCAAGGATGGAGATCCCACAGCCTCTTCATGCCCTGGTCAAGTGCTTGATGACCCATAGATTGATTTTTTTCTGCATGTGTCTGTTTGGAATTTCACCCCTTGTATTTGCCTTTGCTTGGTTTCCCGAGAGGTTTCTCCACCTTCCCGTTGGACCTCAGTCCCTGTCACTGTATAACTTGACAACGTAAAGCTGGTCCTGGTACTGAGGAGACCACAGTGACCATCCCTCCACGGAGGCAGTTTGGGGAGTGTGGATGTTTACCTGCTTTGGGACAGACACAGCCCCGAGCAAGGATCACACAATGACTGTGCAACAGTCATCAGGTGTCATCAGCACCCATTAGCTCCTGAGCGATTTTCAGTCTTTAACAGTGGCTTAATGCTTCTGTCTGACTTAAGGCTGTGTAAAGTTGGTGATTTAGAAACGCAGGAGTATTTTGTTTTCACATCACTTCTCTTTACTGGATGTCAAAGCGTTTTATAAATACTATATAGTCTTATTCTTATAAAGAAGTCTTCTGGAGTGTTTTGTTATCTGAGTAATTATTGCAGGAAGTGCTTTATATTTTATAATCAGACTTCTTGTCCTGAAATTGTCATCTCTGAAAGGAGAAATTTTGTCGCGCTGCCTTGTTATGAGAGTCTGAATTCATTACTCCACTCATGAAGATACCAGTGTAGTGCCAGAGTGCATCTCTTTCTAATTGACTTTAAATCAGAATTGATTCATTTGACTTGGGATTTAGAAAAATATCAGTAGGAAAAGATAAATTACTTCCTGTTATCTGCAGAAGGAATTAACGAACCCTTCAGGTTGGTGAGAAGCTATTATTATTTCCAAGTAATCTAATTAAAGGGTATAACAAAGACGTGTGGCTATTTAATTAAGTATCTGATTACTCAATTGCTCTGCAGTGCATAATCAGAGAAGTGGGAGGGAGTGATTAGGTGTCTTGGGAACGGAAATGACACAACCAAGATATGTAGATATTTTAAAGGAAGGAGAAGCTACTGAGAAAATTGTTCCTCTCTTCCCCACGCAAAAGGCTGAAGATTATTTTTTGCTGGGAGTGAAAAACACGATACCAGAAATGTGCTGGGGAGTTTTCAGCAGAAGACACGACATGCTGGTGCTGGGAGAGGTGAAACAACCGTGCAGTTCTTAACTGATGGCTCTGTCCAGCTCTCGCCTCCACAGAGACCTTGGTGAGGCAGATGTGCAGGGTGCCACGGGCACCACTTGGATCCCAGTTACAGCTTTACCCTCTGGATGGTGCACCAAGGACTCACAAAGGATGGGAACACATGCTCAGTGTCAGTTGGATGCCTGCTTTTGCCAGGCTTTTGGAGAAGAGGTTTTGACACGGAGAGGTTAGCAGAGACAGCTCTTGTTTAGACCCAGGTTTGTTCCCGTCCCATCCTGATCACCTCCCGCACTTAAACAGTTGTGTATAACCTCCATCCAGAGGCTGACTCACCTCCTGAGTGGTTTGCCTCCTTGCAAATTGCTCTGGTATAAATCAGCTGGTGTTTCAGAGCAGAACAGGTGCTGATAAAAAGCCACGTGATGTCAAAACTAATACAAAGGGAGGAGGAATGATTTAAGTGCCTGAGCTTGATCCAAAGTCAAATAAAGCTGGTTTCCATTAATAATTCTTTAAAAGCCATTATCAGCTTCAGGGGTCTGTACCTTCTTTACCTTATGTAGCACCTTGTACTAGGATCGATGTCCTCCACTGCAAAGAAAACCCCACCCAAGCTATCAATCCTTTCGAGTGAGAGGTCAAGTTTCACTAAGTTGGTCCCTTGGAGCTGCAGCTTTACACTTGTGAGCTCTGAACAAAGCCTCTGGTCTTGGACTAACAGTCCAGGCTTTGAACATCCCTGGCTGAGTAGTGATCTTGCTCATTCATTTGATTTCTTTTATCCAGCCTTTCTTATACTCTGTGTGCACTGAACTGCAACCTTAGGGTGAGTAAGAGTGAGGTGCTGGAAGGTGGCTGTACCAGTCCCATCACATGCCATTAACATACCAGGTGCAGTGCTCATGATTTCCCAGAACGGATTAAGGGAGAATTTACTTGGTTAAACTCGCTCTGCGAGGCCCAGGGCTTGGCTCTCAGCTCATGTTATGCACATGTTTGCTACAGCTGGAGAGGGAGGAGAAGATGATGCACTTGACTTACCACCAACCCCAAGCCTCGGGCTCCCATGGACTGAACGAGCCTCTTGTGTAACAGGCTGGCCCCAGGGTTCCTACAAGGAACAAAACCTGGTGTTTCTCCTCCTGTTGAGGGTACAAGGGAAATAAGAGGCAAGAGGTAATAAAATTAGTCCAATTTTCCCTTCACAGTAGTTTATTTGTTATCTTCTGGCTCTTGCTTCAGTTCCTGCCTGCACTGGGTGTGCACAGTGCATGATCACAAGTAAATGATTTCTAGTGTGCTTGCAACAAAAATACAGTCTCCTTTTAACCCTTGGACTAACTGTCCTCCTCCCAAAAGGCACCAGCTCGATCATACCAACCTCTTATTGGAATGTTGCTCGTCCTCATTCCCAGGGAAGCCAAAGGAAGGCTTCCTCTGCCCTCTGTCGGGCAGTTTGCTGGCAGAGTGCAGGAGACTTTTGGGAGGGCAGGGGAGGAGAAAGTCACCTGCATAAATCTGGAATGTGTCAGATTTAATATCACTGAGGCAAATGGTCTAATCATCAGAATGCAAATGCTTCCTACAGTAATATAAACGTTGTTGTGGACTGAGACACTGAACTGGATCCCCAGTGGTGTCATTCTGTGCAAGAATATAATGGGAAATCACGTTGGGAAGGACTTTGTGCAAACATGAGACAATACATGCAATCATTAAGGCTGGAAAAGCCCTCTAAGACCATTGAGCCAAACCATTTACCCAGCACTGCCACCACGAAACTGTGCATGTCTCAGAGTCGACGCTGAAGGCAGGGAGTTCACTTGTGGCATGAGCTGGACCACGTTTCTGAGTCCTCTGAGTGTATGTTTGCTGCCTGTAACAGCACTCAATTCAAGCCAATTCAAGGCACGAACAACAGGGGCTCTATCCCACACGAGACCCCTGCTAGGCTGAGTTCCATGAGCATGGAAAAGGCATCCTGCAACCTTCGTCTGCTGGTTGGGCCCTCACAAGGTGAGGCTACAGAGCAAAACACTTCACTTAGAAGACACCAGTGATGCACCACCAGTGTCTTCATTAGGCACCTTGTGGCATTTCCCAAGGTATGATCTAACTGGATCATCAGATGCTGTGTGTCCCTCTGCACTGAATGGCTTGTGCTGGCTGGCACACACCTCCTCTTTCATCTGCATCCTTCACCATGGGGATTCTCCTTCACTCCTAACCAAGCAGGGTAAAACAATGTTGGTTTCCTAACCAGGGTCTCCTGAAGGCCACCACCACAATATCACTGTGCTTCACAGGCAGAACTGAATTTATATGTGCAATATGTAAGTCTGTGGGAAAATGAAATCATTGCAGTTTACAGGCAAGGGCTACCTGAGGTACAGAATACAACAATGAATGATTTCTTTCTCTCTGAGTACCACTTTAAGATGTGCACGGGGTGCTTTGTCAGAGTATTGGGCATAGTGCTGCATTTTCTAAGGTCAGTGATGCACCTGTGTGAATATCTCACCTGTGTTACACAGAGGCTTAGGCTGATGTTTTCTCCTGCTCTTGACATCTGCAGCACTTCACAGCCATGCCAGCAAGCCCAGTCTTATTTGAAATACAGTTCTGAAGAAATGTCATATTCTTATTTTTAAAACAGCGGGTTTCTTTCCCCTGAGTTTCAGCTTTTCAGTGCCAGTGAGATACATAAATTTACAACCCAGAACTTCCCTGTTTGAACTCCTACAGTAAATGAAACAGTCACAGGGTGTATAACGTGAATAAAATCCTGTTACTGTTTCATGGACTCTGTCAGGTTTTGTACTCTCCTTTTTTCCAGTTCCTCCTTCTTCACTCCATCCTATTCCCTC